GTCCCTCAACAGAGGAATGGATACAGAAATTGCGATACATTTATACAATGGAATACTGCTTAGCTATTAAAAACAAGGAAATCATGAAATTTGCAGGCAAATGGTGGGAACTAAAAATGATCATCTTGAGTGAGGTAACACAGGAGCAGAAAGACACACATGGTATATACTCATTAATAAATGGTTATTAGCCATATACTATAGGATAAACATACTAAAATCTATACTCCCAAAGAAGCTCAACAACAAGGAAGACCCTAGGGAAGATGCTGAGTGTTTGTAACCATTTTAACAGCAATAGCAAATAAAAGATAACAGAAGATGAAAAGACAAAAGGATAAACCCCAAGTCGCCGTTAGTAAACATAGCTGTTAAACAAATGTAAATGCACAGCAAGTTGCTGCGCCTGCCAGTCCACATGTCTTTGCTCTAATGTAGGACAGTATCTCTATGCAGAATCACTGAGCATCTACTTCATAGGAGTATGTGCTTAACGTGTAGATATGTAGCTGACAGACATAGCAATAGACACACATTCTTACCTCCTGAGAGAGCCTTAACGTGTAGCCGGGCCTGGCTTTGAGTCTGAGGTCTTCCTGTCTCAGCCCCAGAGTGCTAGAATCACAGACACATCATCATAGAGACTCCCATTCCATCCTACACGGAATCAAAGGTCTTGCTTTGTATGTATTCATCTTTGTATCGAAGTACACGCTTTCGGTAAGTTCCAGAAATAATATACAAAAGTACCTGATGTGTGTCAGAAATACTCAGCTCCTTTGTGGTGAAGTCAGCAGGATGCCACAGCTAATTCGGGGAACTTCTGAGTATATACTGAGAATACTGAGATTAAATTTGCCACGTTAAAGATACAATCAAATAACGTCCTTAGGAGTGCAGGGCGCTCACAAGCGTTCTATTTCCACTCAGTATAAATAATTTGCAACCCCACAATATAATCACCACACGACCTCAGACATCAGGCCACACACTCCATAGCTAATGTCAGTTCTATCCCAGGTGTGATATGGGTACCAAAGAGACCGTTCTCCAACTGTAAAGTATGTGTACACATTCGGTATGCACAGATATGTATGTACCCGGCATTTTGTGGCCAACTTCAATTACTTTGTAAGTTTAAAAAGGTGCTTTTTAGAGAGACCCTTTGTTTTCTGCAGGGAGCCCGGTTGGACGCTTAGAGTTATTAATGAGGAAGGTAGATGGGAGCTTTTCTTAAACATGAGGTTTGCAGCAGTAAGCCAACATGGAGCTAAAGAAGCACCCTTTCCAGCAAGCAAATGACAGGGGAAAAGCAATGAAAATAAACCATGTGTGTACATCGGGAGGGGGGAAGCAGCTGGTCCAATGGGTTCGAGGCCACATATCAGACCTCCTGCATATTAAATAGTTACATTACGATTCATAACAGTAGCAAAATTACAGTTATGAAGTAGCAACCAAAAGCACTTTAAGGTTGGGGTCACCACAACATGAGGAACTGTATTAAAGGGCTCCATCATTAGGAAGGGTGAGAACCAACTGCTCTAGTCACACACACACACACACACACACACACACACAATGTCACGACAAAACCCATTTCTTCGTGTTCTAAGCAAAACTGGAATGAGCAGAGTTGAGCTGGAAAAGGGAAATACCTGTGTGCGTGGCCACTCCTTTCAGCCTGGGAAGGTAAAGGGTGTGTGGCATTCTCCCTGACCATCTGCGGCTGATTGTATAGACAAAATGATTAACTACAATCAGACCCCATAGCTGCCCTTTGAATCGTATGTATGCTTAGAAGGTGAGGCCAGCAATCCTGAAACGTGCGGAGACTTTCTAGGAAACGTTTTCCCCCGGGGACCTCCTTCCCTTACACCGAGGTGTGCCGAGGACAAAGCGAGAAGACCCAGAATAGCTTTTTGAAGACTTTGAAAGACTTTTACAGTGATTACATGCTAAAATATCCTTTATACATTGACTCAACAGGGTACATTATTAGAACTAATTTTACTTCTTTTTTGCATAAAAAAAAAACCACACACACACACAAAAAAAACCTGTGGCTGCTGGAAAATTTCAAACAAAACCCGTGAGTCGTGCATGATCCTAGTTGAGCAGGGCTGTGGTCAAGCCGCAGAACCGCCTCATTCTTTCCTGTTTCTGCGACCCTAGCAAATGCCTCTAAGACAGTTTTGCTCCTTGGACGCTGTGTGGGGATTTTACCTTGCAGCAAGTACCAGGGAACGACTGCTGTCATCCTCTGCCCCCTAGCGGCGGGAGGAGGACGGTGCCACCCACCCTGGGAAGCCAATTGGTCCCAGCATCTGCAAGTGGCACCTGCCCCCTGTGGCTCAAGCGCGCACGAAGCGGGGAGAGCCAAAGGGATCAGCCACAAGCCGGAGGAGGCCAGGCAGGACAGGAAAGCTGGTGTGGTCGGGCTGTATACTAGAAGCAGCTTTCCAAGGTGGCCTTTCCGTGTCACCGTGAGCTGTGGTTTCCCACAGGGGACCAGGAGGGGATGGAGCTGGGTGGAAAGCCCCGCCACCTCATCTCGCTGGCTTGTGAGTGCGTGACAAGGATCCGAGCAAACCTCATACGCAGCTGAGCCATGGTATTGTAGGGACTTTACATTTGTAACTCTGCAGGGTCTCTCTGTGTTCAAATGTGTAGCACTGTTAAAGAGGTCAAAAAGCCGAGGGTTTTCCAGGTACTACAGGCCCATACCTGCTGCTGATGCTGGGGGCGGGGGGTGGGGGGACACTTGCCTCAGCCTTGGTGCTTACTCTGCGACTCTCAAAGCAACAGACTGAGACCACCGGGGCCTGGCACAAACTGGGTACAACCTGGGCTCTGGACCTCACGAAGCTTCCCACGCTGAAGTGAAGCCTCCCTCACTTCCCACACTGCACCTCTAAGAGCTGGATTACTCGGGTGCGCGGGAGGCCGTTTAAATGTTGAAAGGCAAACAGTGTTCTAATAACCGCGGGACCCTCAGGTCTGGTTTCCCACCTTTCAGTGTTTCGGCTGCTAATCTTAATGTCTCTTGAACAGATGCCTCTCCTGGACTGCAGGTTCCTCAAGGGTTATCGCCAGCAGCGCCTGGCACACCTGGTGCTGGCCGCCATCACCATGGGATTCGTCTGGCAGGAAGGAGAGACCCAACCCCAAAAGGTGAGGGGCAAGGAGGAACCTATCTATCAGGTGATACTGGAATCATGCCACCAGCCCCAGGTTTCATTTCTCAGTCTCCAAAGAAATCAGCAGAAGACAAGGAAGGGGGGGTGGGGGGGAGATGCTTAGAACTTTTCTTTCTTTCTTTCTTTCTCTTTCTTTCTTCCTTCCTTCCTTCCTCCCTCCCTCCCTTTCTCCTTCCTTCCTTCCTTCCTTCCTTCCTTCCTTCCTTCCTTCCTTCCTCCCTCCCTCCCTCCCTTTCTCCTTCCTTCCTTCCTTCCTTCCTTCCTTCCTTCCTTCCTTCCTTCCTTCCTTTCTTTTTTTTTTTCTACCGAGCTGATTTTTTTTTTAGACCAATGGTTATTTTCTAACGCTCTTGGCACCCCCATTCCAATAATGTGTAAACAGCTTCCTTCGATTCTGAGAACTCATAAAACACCCTGCAGAATGTACATTTCTAAGTACATTGGTTATCTTGATTTTCATAATCGCTCTCTTGTACAGATGTCAGGGGAAGCTGTCCCAAGCTCAGGGGCAACTCATTTGTCCAGAGCAGCCCGGGGACAGTGGGAAAGCCCGTTTCTGAGTCCACTAAAGTAGCTGTCTTTCCCCAGTGACACATAGAGACTTGGACACTCCTTTGTTTACTTAATACTGCTGTGTTCTGCTCAGCTTGCTGTTGGTTTTATCCATCCTTTATCTAACTCTCTCCATGACGTTTTAGTTTCAATCTGTACTTTATGGCCTTCTTCTCTAGCCATGGAAGAAACTAATGTTCCTTTTTATTTTCTCCCTCCTCCTTTTTTATCTTTTAATTTTATTTAATTCTTTTTTTTTTTTTTTTTTTTTTGAGTCAAGGTCTTACAAAGTATCCCAAACCAGATGAGGACTTGCACTCTAGTCCAAGTCCTTCTCAAATTCATGATCCTCTCCTGTCAGCCTTCCAAGTGCTGGGATTACAGGCATGTGCTACCCTGCCCGGTTATAGTGTCCACTGTTGTGTTGTGGCTGCTGCTAGGGCCGGGATGGAATCCAGGGCCAGCACGTGCTGGGTTAATTAATACTTTACCACTCAACAGGAGCTCCAGCCATTTCCTCTGCCTTTCCCCTGAGTTTCTGTTTCCCAGAAATCAAGGTGTTGCTCTTGTCCCAGAATTCGTGAGAAGCCTGGACCATGCTCACCCTGGCTCATCCCACCCATTGTTTCACACGGAAATACTTGAGCTGGAGAGGAAGGACAGGGCAGCGCTCTTTCTCCTTCTCATTCTAACAGATGATACCATATTGTATCTCCTCTTAAGAACTCAAGTGTCTAATGTTCCATGTTGAATGTTTTAAACTCTAGGCCAGTGATGGAAAACCCTAGTGAGCTCCCATCATAGGGCCCTAAGCCATTCTCCTGAGTTACCCTTCCTCCAAAGCCCTGATTTCTGTAGAAGCTTGGTGGCATTTCACACTGTGTAAACTCAGTAATTGTTCTCTACCTAAAATGCACTTCTTTCCTAAGTCTGAGCAAGAAGGAATGGCAGCTGCAGGCCTTCTTTAAAGTGTCTTCAGTCCTGGGCTGGCAAGACGCTCAGTGGGTTAATTGGTACCAAGCAAGCCTGACGCTGAAGTCATGGTCCCTAGGACCTTGAAAGCTGGTGTAGGTGGCAGTGAACAAGAGAGGCCTTGATTCAACCAAGGTGAAAGGTGAGGAGTAGTGCTTGCAGTGGCCCAGTGGCTTCTACACTTTGGTGTGAATATGCCTACATTCTCTTCTCTCTGCCTCTCCCCCTCAATGTCTCTGCCTGCCTGCCTCTCTCTCACTCAACACACACACACACACACACACACACACACACACACACACACACACA